TCTGTGTAGTAAATGCCGCTCCATCTGAACGCACGTGCTGGAGATTTACTACTAATCACAGAACCGGCTTTACTGACGAGATGCGCATGAAAATCGCATTTGATTATTTGCACAGCCCTACACCCAGCAAAACATTAAAATATCAGATTCACTCAGTATTCATCACTAAATTAATACTCGTGCTTGACCATTAGAGATGTTTTCTCTGTAAGATGTATTAAATATAAAAAAGTTGTGGAGATATAATTGGCTTTGGCAAAAAAGTGGTCATATCTCATCGAAATTGTTCCCAAAGTTTCTTTTAATCGCATATTTGAAGGCACTGCAAGCAACTTGCATAAAATGTCTCTACTTTCTGATATCATTACCTCTGTAAACCTAAAAAATGGTATAAGGAAGTAGCACACCCCTTTTTAGCTACTCAGAAAACACCTTTTACAGATATTGGTTTGCTGGGATGAAGTGCCTTAAGAAAGAGGGTGTGTGGTTGAAGGGATTATCTAATTGTAGCGGAAGTTAGCAAATCACTTACAGCACCTTTAACAAAATTGAGCTGAAACTCTATAACCTCAGGGAAGGAAATGATGTCTAATGCCTTATTAACGGTCTAAAGATCAATCACCATAATGTCATTTAGTGGGCAAAGTTATTTATACAAAATAAATGGACTGGTTAATGCATTTGTGGAGATTATTAATGACTATATCTTCGAGGAAACACGAAACAACATTTCAAAGATAAATTCATCCATTAACAAAGTTATAAGATGAAAAAAGCCTCTAAAAGCATTTCAAGCCGCCGCATCATGCACCGCTATTACAGATAGGATTAATTCTCCATGGCGCCTCAAGTTTTTTCCCGGCTTTCAGTGAGCAGCCAAACTAGGCTTGGTTTATTAGTACAGGTCTCATCCCAATAAAGTCTTTCCTCACACATCTGAGTGACGCATGGCATCATTTAGCAGGAAAAGGAAACATTGTAGCCCACATTGTTATTCCAAGAGCTAAATTTGTGGGATTCAGATTTGCATGGTGGCAGCTCAAGGCCCTGTGTTGATCTAACTTGGGATTTATGTCACATCTACTAGCGTTGGCTCACAATCAGGACATTTAAAGGGTCTGGTGTACACACTCTAGGTTTGTGATTGGTACATTCAACTACATTACCATGGAGACCGGTAAGTGCAGCGGAGGGGGCTGCAAATGCGTTGGCAATGGAGTGGAAGAGTACACTATTATGTATCTCTTCTCGTAACGTGTGGTCTTCCAACAAGAAATAAGCCAGAGTGATTGCGTAATTTTGCGCCTTTAAATGTGAAACCCACATGGGGATGCCTGCCCACATGGCTGTGTGAGTAAGCATGGGGGAGCAAAGATAGCGCACAGATAGAGAGCATTCAGTCTTCCAGTGTCTCCATTCAAACCATTGTAGCCTTCAGCACTGCTGCTAATGGTGCAGGGGACAACATGATCCCATTTTCTCCACAAACACACTGTGGATTCAGACCACATAGTGAAAACACCACTTAAATCAACCATAGTATTTATATCATGTACTAAGAAAAAAGCTTCTCTAACATGTACAGTTTTGGCCGCTAAAGGAACGTTTTTTACATTTTTTATATCTTTTTTTAATCAGTTTCAGAATTATTTTGATGGTATACCTACATCTAGTTAGGCGAATGGCTTCTGTTTCTTTTCTACACATCCCCTCAAACATCTGTTTTGGGAGTATGTAAGTTCCTCAGAAAGGGAGGATTGCTTTACATCAACAGAAAATGCTTTAAACGGAATTAATAATGTAAAGTTTTGAGAAAGCATTATTTTGATATTCGTCCAGTTTTCACAGGAATCACGCTTCCGACTTTTTACCAATGAACTAGGTTTTCCTATCATGGCAAGTTTAGATACATTTTGTTTAGTTTTTCTGACAAAAGAATATAAACTCAGCAACAGTGTCAACAAAGTATTAAATAATTTGTGAGGCATCTCAAACTTCTCACTGCGAACACAGTTTTTCTGTTTTAAGGGGTGATTCAATGATTAATGTTTGACTTGTGTCACAAACTTGACTTGTTTTTCCTAGACAGCTCCATCTCTTGGACAACAAATGGAGAATCCTTCTGAGATTAGTTTCCTGAGAAAAGACACCAGTATAACGTGTGTCTCTTCTCAACAATTCCTCAAACTGTTCTCAGATTTGCCAATACAGCAATCTGCAATCAAACGCCAGAGATTTCATCATGCTTCCCGAGAAACAAATGTATTATAGCCTTACTGAAAAAAATATACAAGCTTGTTTGCTGGTCTTAGGCTGGCCACACACTTAAAAATTTTAAGGCAGATTTAAAAATCCGCTATTGGGTGGTGTCATGATTATTTAACTGCTCCTGATCAAGACGGAGCGTCCCCGAACTCAAATCGTAAATATAAAAATGTTTGATATTTACGACTCTTGATCAGGCTGCCTCTGACGTTTGGTTCCCACGATAGCCAATGAGAGTGAGCAAGCGTCACCTACCCGATGTTCAGTCAAAGCGTCACCTACCGGACATCACCCATATTCTTTTTTTGTTTTTCAGTGTACAACAGAACATGTGCCAGGAGAGCCAGCTGACAACGTCGATTGTCCTCCATGTGTTTTACTTCTCTAGTCACGTTTCTCTCTGAGATCTTGTCACTCTGAAGTCGTTCCTACAATCAACAAGTGCGTGTTCTTGAAAATCTGTTGAAACTGTCTGCCAGTGGTTTCCCATGGTTTTAAAATCAGTTAAGATTTGAAAATCGTCTAGTGTGTCCCAGGCCTTAGCTGGTCTCCCAGCCTGTCCAGTTGGTCTATTGGCTGGATTTAGAGGGATTTTGAAAACTTTTCAGCTTCTCAGCTGGCCGTCCAGCTAACCTAGGTAAACACCAGCCTGGCCAGGTTGTGAGACCATTTTAAACCAGCTAAAACCAATTTAAACTAGTTGAGACCAGAAAACCAGCTGGTTTAAGTTGATTTGTTTTGTCTTTTCAGCAGGGATGCACACAACAACTGTATAATTCGTTTTTTAAGTTGCGATGAAATTAAAGTGTGACTGACCTTTTCTTTTGTATTTGTATTTGTGTTGTACTGTACATCCAAGCATGACGGATTATAGAAAAAGAAAAAATGAAGGACGGGGACTGTTATATATGCATTGGCTGTTGATTTGATTTTAAGATGTGGGTGTTGCACGTAAAAATCGTCTCAGGTTACTTATGTAACCATGGTTCCCTGAGTAGGGAACGAGACACTGCGTCCTCTAGGGGGATGAACATGAATTTGCGGGGTCTGGGTTTAAGCGGACTAAATGGAGAAGTACTCTATATGTCCAATTCTGATTTAAAAATAAGAGGTCGAAACATTTAAAAATGAAACATACAGTACATCATTCACAATAAGATCTTAGATAGGGTGAATTCTCATTTCTTGTCGACTTTAAATTGTAAAATACGATGAAACACAACTGAGAACTCTGTTAGGTCTCATGAGCTTTGAAAGAGAAATAAAACTTTACTCTGGGGACCCTTTTACACTCCCCACTATAATTCATTATGAGGATTTGAATTTCAATGTGGCTGACAGCACTGGTCAGGTTTTGCATTGCAATTTATATTCAATATTATTCACAGTGCAGTCTTCTAGAATTCATTTACATGATTATTAATTACTTTATAGCTATATGAACCCATTAGCTTGATAAGGACGAACAAGTGAATATAAATTCATCTTAGTATATGTATACTGCATCAGACAAAAACCTGTAAAGTAAAAGATAAAAAGGTAGCTTTTAAACAAAAATCAACCTTTTAAATAAAACAAAAATGGTATAATGCCATAGTAATTTAAAAGGTAGAGGAAATGCTGATAAATAAATACAGTGAAACACAATCTAATTACCTACAACGGACAAAGAAATCTCAACACTGCAAATCAAGTGCGACGAGATGCTGTTTGTCTAGAGGAGTGACCAGATCTCTACAGAGACTCAGTGTTGTCTTTCAAGTGAGACTAAAACTCATATCTCTCAGCACTGTGGACGTTTCCTTTTCTAGACAGGATTTAATAACAAGGACATCAATCTCCGTGGTAAGATTGTGGCAAGCGTACCCCTCGCAAGCCCACAATTCAGTATCGAGGACTGAGTCAATAGCAAATGATTTTTCTGTGTTGTAGACACAGTTGAGGGTGTGACTGGGCATTCTGTGCATAGTATTTGAATGAGTATTTCCCTGCTGTCATATAATCTTCTCTGTCTATATAGTGCAATATCATTTGCACATGTAACCTAACTGCACAGAGTTGAGGGTCTCATGGGTAAATATCACAGTAATAATAATGCTAATGTTCCATTCAACTCGGAGAGTTGGAAAGTCTTACTCCAGCAGTTTCCAACCTCAATCTGCAACTCTGATCCACTGATATGCAGGTGTATGACATCACAAGAACGTGGTGGCACAAAGAGATTCACAGTTAATGATATCAATGAGTCAACCTTCCCATTTTACAGTACATGAATATAAAGCCTGTTTAGCTAATTTGCATAGACAGCTGCATAAAACAAGCTTAAATGAACCTCTCTGCTAATCTCCATACACTTGTAAATGTTAGCATTGCATAGCATCGTATGCCAGGAGACATCCTTGTTGACAACTGAACACCTGCAAAGCTAATAGGAGCCAAAATTTTCCTCTTTACATGTCATTTTGTGACTTTAAATGGAACGCAGTGTAACATGGAACAAAAAAAAAAAGAGCTGTACCAAACAAGAAAGTCTGAAGTTTGTAGAAACACGTTTATCTAGGATTATACTGTATATAGAATAGTTTGGTTTAAAGTTAGCATGAAATGGCACTCTACCACTGTAATTTGGCATATTTCCAAGTGAAACAAGATATACAACTGTGGTTAGGGGGGCGTGGTTCAGCGAAGTTTGCAGCGGGAGAGACGCACTGGCCAGTTCATCCGGGGCCACCCACATGCCTCCACGGTCCTCTCAAAGAGGTCGACGAAGGCATCCGGATCATCCAGCGGGCCCAACTTGTTCAAAGGCATGTGGGCTGGCAGGGCCGGGGCAGATGGACTTCCCCCAGCCCGAACCTCCTTTTCCATCCAGCTCCGGAACAGCTCGTGGTCCTCTTGCTGCGTCTGGACGAGGGCACGGAATCGACGTTCCTGATCCTCCCTCATGTCCAGCAGCGCTTGATGGTGCTCTTGACGGAGTCCCGCGAGTGAGTGGATGACCTCCGCAAACGGCGAACTTGATGGAGATGACATGATGGCGGCGGCGTTATCAGTTCCTTCCCGGGTTTCGGCACCAGTGTAGCACAGTTCGTAATAAAGAAGGAAGGAAGTGAACCAGGTGGGCGTTTGGAGACTCGTGGATATTTATTTAATAACTCAAAACTTGAACAAAACAAAAGTAACGCTTCCAGCGCGTTCACACACTGCCAATGGCACAAATTCAGTTCCTCAGGTTTTCTCTCTCTGGCCGAGCGATGCCCACAAGTCTCCGTCTCTCTCCCTTCCACGTTCTCCAGTCTGCCTTTTAACCGGTCTCTCCAGGCCAATTACTGCAATCAGACACAGGTGTTCATCATTTTGCACTTGACCTACTTACTCACCACTCGTCTCCCGCCCCTCTCTCCCGCTGCAAACTTCGCTGAACCACGCCCCCCTCGCCACAACAACAAAATAATGTAGAGCCGGACTTTTCTTTATGAGGAATTGATTGAAACGCGTGTTCCATACCATGTTCTAACTACAAGTTGCGAAGAAACAGAAGTAGCGACATTGTTTATTTTTGTGTTGTGCCTTACATCCGAGTGTAATCAAAAAAGAAAAAAGTAGATCAGATTCTAGCAGTCGGTTGTTGTAAGATCTGCCTGGAACTACTTTAGCCATGCGTTTCCTGAAAAACAATTGCACACCTTAGAATGTTCATCAACTAATCAGATTCAAGCATTCAACAGCCCTGTGGTATAAGTGCTCAAAAAAGGACAGTTGTTTCAGAGGCAAAGCAAATTACTTTTTGCACAATAAGACCATGCACATGTACTGGGTAAAAGTAAACAGGGTCCGTTTTGATTTCATGTTGACTGTAAGCTGTTTTTCTAATATTCAATTTGTCATCCATTACATTACAATTTTTGATTTCTAAAGCTACAAGCTTCAATACTGACATCATGGTCTATGTACTGTTTTCCTGAGGATTGCATTGTATTCACCATTTTACATGTCAGAATGAATTGCCTGAGAGAGTGCTAGCCATCTGCCGCTTTCCAGATTCAGACGGCCATCCTTTACGGGTCAGACAAGCCTGAGGAAAACGCTGGTCTCCGGACAGCAGGCCTGCCAAAACAGCATGAGCTAAAGCAGTACCCTTCTCTGGTGTCCGGCTCATATCCCAGGACCTCACTTTATCAAACCCTGTGAATTATCAGTAATTGGCCCAACTGTGACATTCCCGATTGCAAAGGGCACATAAATCACCTCGCAGTATAATAGCTCAAACGGCAAACTATGCAAGTCCTGCACAAATGACCTCACAGAGCGTTTGTCCCCTGATGTCTGACTGATACCACTGTCTGTCTTTCTAGACCCTTTCTTTTTCATACACACAATTACTGGTGACACAGACACTCTTGTTCGGATAAAAATAGTCTTAGATATGATCCCTTGATCTCATTCTCAGGCTGGTCTGGGCTTTTATCTTCGAATGGACAGACTAAAGTGGACAGAAAATGTTCAGAAACGCTTTTGCCTAGAGGAAAGATTATATCACTGCTATTTTATGCAATATAATTCAGTGGTACATTATACAAGTTATATAACCATCCTATAGTTGGCAATAGTCTTCTAAGCTTTTGTACCAGTGAATAGCTTTCATGACCGTCTTGATATTGTTTCGGGTCAATATTCTCTGAAAATCTTCCAAAAGAAATTTGTTCAAATTCAAGGATGTCAAAGAGGAACCTTTAATGTTTAATTTAGCAAAGTACTCAGATGAATTTTGTCTTTCTGAATAGAAAAAGAGGACTTCAAAAAAACAAAAATCTATATGACACGAGTCTTCCAAGATCTTCAAAACAAATAAATTCATTTTGTGCAAGGTTAATGCATTAGTAGTATGAAGCAAGGATGGAACTTGACCAAAAAAAAAAAACAGCCCAGTGTTAGCCTAATAAAAAAATCACCTTTTGTATTATCTAGTTCAAAAATAATGCTTTTACATTGCAGAGGAAAAGCTATTAAATTGAACAATTGTTTAAGAGGAATATGTCAAGCAATGCTAATCACAGAGAACCATGTTTGCATCCCACATAATTATATTGACATTTTCAATAGACTAGGAATTGAAAGCACATTTGTGACCCTGGACCACAAAAGCAGTCTTAAGTCGCTGGGGTATATTTGTAGCAATAGCCAAAAATACATTGTATGGGTCAAAATTATAGATTTTTCTTTTATGACAAAAATCATTAGGATATTAAGTAAAGATCATGTTCCATGAAGATATTTTGTAAATTTCCTACTGTAAATATATCAAAACTTAATTTCTGATTAGTAATATGCATTGCTAAGAACTTCATTTGGACAAATTTAAAGGC